TCATTATCGAGAAATTTGACCCCAAAGTTGGGGTAAACTTTTCACCAGCAACGGCTTTTAACTCCTCTGTGATTTTTTCGGCTTGGCTGGTTTTGTTCATACTTCACAGGTAGGTCGTGCCGTCACTAATTGGAAAATAATCCTGGCCCACCACTGCCATTGCAACATCCAAAAACTGATTTTTGAATACTTTTGCCCCAAATGTATTACCTCCTACCAGTTTTGTACACAGTCAGCTGGCATCGGTGTCGCTGGGTGTATATGATAAAGGGAAGTTGTGCAACCAAATTTGCCGAGTTCGCAGTTTTTCGCCAATAAAAAAATAACTAAACTAAAATAATAAAGACATTATTATCCATCAATAATCCGCCCAAAACAGGAACATTTCTACTAATTCTTGTGGTTTTTCGACGTTTTTCGAAAAACTTCGATTAGGCTGCGAAAGTAGAACATTCCGGAGGGGGCGAAACGGAAGAGCCAAATTTATCGTGTAAAAATAGAACGCGTATTTTGACCTCTATGCGGTCGTTGCCAAAGAGCCCTGCGTCCATCGCCTGGCGATGCTCTTCCGTTTTACCAGTTGCGTTATTTTGACTAAAATTTGGGCAGTACTGTCAGTCACGAAAATTGATGAATAAATTAATACACATAAAATATGAATCACGGGCTAATTCAATTGTCACCCAACACTCCACTGCTAAACAATATGTGGCGAGATAGTAGCGTACTGTATATTTGACCCAGATTTGACAAGCGTGGTACAGTTTTTTGCGCGTGTCCGTAATAACGCGCACAAAGGATTGTGGGACAGAGTCCTTTATTTGCTGGCATTCTTGACTTTTGACTGCAGTTCTTTTTTTATATTTTAGAGTAAATGCTTCTGATATGCTCTTAGGTTGCTTAATATCCGTCTGAAATTCTGGACTGTGGTCATATTTTTCGATTAGGAGTTGTATATTTAAATAACTCACCGTGACTAGTGTTTTGCATTATGAAGTATATTATTATTTACCATTTCGCTTTCCAGCATACGCTTCATTCTAGAAAAAGCTATCGCAAAACGGTTGGAAATAGTAAATGTATAAACAGCAGAATACGTCCTAGCACAGTCACTCTACTAGGAGAGTGACTGTGGTCCTAGTAATAAACTAAGTGACTTCTAAAGACTGAATGGTGTTTGCGAACTTCGTATTAGTTATAAACCGACGTTAGCTTCACGTTTATGTCACACCATGGAAACAGCCAAAAACATGTTGCTTGTTTCTGAGCGGAGCGGATCGCCAACCAGCCTACCGGCTTGTTTAAATTGTTTACCCCCAATTTGTCCAATAAAACCAACATATTTTTGACTTTATTATTGACGATGCTGGTCGGGCAACCATTACTTTTCTGTATTTCCATATTAACTGTTTCTTGTTTCATATCGTCCATAGTATCGCCAAGCAGTCAGCAGTCCCAAGTCTCAACTACCACATAAGATGTCTTTCAGTGCATATGGATTTGGTGCTAAGACACCGAGTCCCACAACGACATCACCCCCTGCAAAGAAAGGAGCAAATATCAGTGTAAATGTTAAACCTATCACGCAAGAAAGTATCAATGACATGCCAGAAATCAGAAAGTACCGCAAGAGATTCAATTCTGAAATACTTTGTGCAGCACTCTGGGGTATGTCTTTATACTACGTAGTTATCTTGAGAATACTTTGTGCAGCACTCTGGGGTATGTCTTTCTACTACGTAGTTATCTTGAGAATACTTTGTGCAGCACTTTGGGATATGTCTTTATACTACGTAGTTATCTTGAGAATACCCTAAATTACACTGCAGGTGTCTTGCAATCCCGTATAGTCATCGTCAGTACTGTCAGTCTTTATTGAAATATTGTATTTAATATTTTATTTTACTAGGTGTTAATTTAATGGTTGGCACCGATGCTGGTCTTATGTTACTTGATCGAAGTGGACAGGGTAAAGGTAAGCATTATCTTGTTCATTTCATTAAATGTTACTATGGCTACGAATTCATTTTGTACACCTAGTTAATTGGCTGACTGTATAGCTGTGTTGCAAGTAATGTTGCTTTCAGGAAGCCAGTAGATTGTTAGCTCAGCTGTCGACTTTGTGGAGTGGAGCTTATCATAGATTGTCCGTCGTCTATGTCAACTTTTTACTTCTTGGACTTCTTCTTGAAAAAAACTACAATTTTTATTGCTTTGATACTTGGTGTATATGTACCTTTGGCAAACCTATCTTAGATTTATTCATTTCATTATGATATCTTCAATTCTCTAATTTTGATGAATATTTTGAAAATCGCAAGTCTGATTTGATACTATACTTATAGGTACCTCAGGTAGACCTCTCTCAGATTTGTTCATTTTTCGATATCTTCAATTCTTTAATTGAAATGTGCATTGCTAACAGCGGAGCTATCTCAGCTGAGAAGCTGCTTGTTTCCAGATTTGGAGGCAACATTGCTAACGGAACAGCTGTTAGTCAGTCAGTCAGCTGATAATATTGCTGACTGGGTGTATGGACAAAATATGCAGCCATAATAATTAAATGGTTGGCACTTTATGCTGGTCTTGTTACTTAAACAAAGTGGACTGGGTAAAGATTAAGCATCAGCTTATTCATTGAGTGTTATTTTACTGTTTAATCTGTTTGTTTGTTTGTAGTTTATTCTCTTATATCAAGAAGGCGTTTCCAGCAGATGGATGTGTTAGAAGGGCAGAATATTTTGGTTACTATTTCAGGTTTGTTTGTTAATTCAGAACTCAGTTCACCCTATAGGGTATTCTATGAGAATGGACAAGTGCCATGGCCATGTATGTTGTCAGAATGACGTAGCTATTCAATGCTATGCTATGCTGTATTTCAGCTTAGTTTGGAATACAAATAGTTTTTCGTTTTTAGGATCATGTTGGCAACTTACGATTTATTTATTTATTCATTCTCCAGGTAAAAAGAACAAACTGCGAGTATATTACCTGTCATGGCTTAAACAAAAGATACTGAAAAGTGAAGATGTAAGTATCTATTGTCAATATCTCAGCAACTAATGGTAACTATGGCAATACTGACACCTCCAAAATGTTGTATTGAGGATGTCATGAATTCTTATTATTTATCTTTATTTTTATTTTTATTTGTGTATGTGTTTTTGTGATGTGGCAGAATTTAGATAGACATGTGGGGGCTAAGATAGCAGAGTAGGTAGCGATGAAGTGTGGTTGGTGATGTTGGCAGTTTTCAGTGAATGGTACTGAGGCAAGGTACTGCAGAGAATTAGCCGAACTGGTGGTTAGTAAAGATAGATGCTAGTCAATCTTTGAGTATGGTCAATGCCATTAGGGATAGCCTGTTTTTGAAGGTAAACTGGCAGAGTTGTTCTAGTGATTATTGTTTGCTGTGTATTTTGTATGGTGTCCTACTGATCTGTGATAGCGTTCTGTGGCAGAGAATGAAAGTAATGAGTTGTTATTATTCTTCTATCTCTAGACTTTACAAGAGAAAAAGAAGCCAAGTTATGTTTCTGTAGGTGACCTGGAAGGATGTGTTCATTACAAAGTTGTGCGATACGAGAGAATTAAATTCCTTGTGATAGCACTGAAAGATAGGATAGAAATCTATGCATGGGCTCCTAAACCTTATCACAAGTTTATGGCATTTAAGGTGAGTACACAAGATGTTTTTGAGGTTTCTTATTTCATTATGTTTCTTTCTTGTCTTTTACGATGTTTTCCCTGTTTTTGTAGTCTTTCAGTGACCTGACACATAAACCATTGATTGTTGACCTCACTATAGAAGTTGGAAGTCGACTTAAAGTAGTATATGGATCCAGTGCTGGATTTCATGCCATTGATCTGGATTCAGGACTTGTTCTTGACCTTTACACCCCAACACATGTAAGTACTTGGTTGAAATTTAAACTGAAACTGACATGATGTGTGAGTGAGATCTCTGGGTTTGTTACATCCATGTCACTTGTGGACCTCAGATTTCTTACAGAAATCATTTGTGCTCACTCTATGAAATACCTCACATCACTTCATGTATACCATGGAATCATTGTATCTTTCTCTTACTGATTAGACTATGTACTATGGTTTACTGTTGGAATCATAGTGTATTTGTCAATGTTTTCAGTTGATTGTTTTGTATTCTTGGACTTGTAAAATTTCCCTTGAATAAAATTATGAAATCGTTAGGTAGAAGAAATAACAAAACCAGACCATATTTTATTCAAACCTGGCCTATGATTTTATAGTTATCAAGACCGCCATGAAATGTGTCCTATTTGATTGTTATGTTTTTTATGCATATTCATGAGGATTTGATTGTTTTGCTTATACAGATTACAGTATTGTATATCATTGACACATTTGGCGGTATTCAACTGTTTTTTTCTAACCATTTAACTACGACAGGATATCAATACACATCGAAAAAACATCCTAATTGTGTGATTGATTTCTATCTTACAGCAACTTTATAAAAGTATTGTTCCACACTGTATTGTAATCTTGCCAAATACCCAGGGTCTTCACCTTCTATTGTGTTATGACAGTAAGTGTACATTTATTCCATAATACATGCGGTTCTTACTTGGTTTACAACCAATCTCATTTGTAGATGTAGTAATTACAGCATTGTTGACTTGCAGCGTTGCTAATGAACTACATTAAATTATTGTTATATTTTCTTCAAATTGCAGATGAGGGTGTTTTTATTGATACTTATGGTAAAGCATACAAAGACGTCATACTACAATGGGCAGAATTGCCAACATCTGTTGGTAAGTTCAATGCATTGCTGTCTCATAGGGTGGTGAAGCTTGGGTGAAACCCTTCCATTTGTTCTTGTGTCTTTCCCAATGCATTGCTGTCTCATAGGGTGGTGAAGCTTGGGTGAAACCCTTCCATTTGTTCTTGTGTCTTTCCCAATGCATATATCCACTGCAAACTTTTTCACCAGTAGTAATTTATCATTTAAAGAGATTCACAAGCTTTTTGTTCTATTCCTAACCCTTATATCCCATAATAGTCACTGGATTTTAATTTAGAGCATTTAGTTTTCAGCAAAATAAGTGAGAACATAGTTTCCTTATAACATAAAATGCTGAAGTGAGGTGACTCACAAAGTGGAGGAAATTGACTGGCTAATATTTTCCATTGCAGCATATGTTGCAAGTACTGGACAGATTATGGGATGGGGAAACAAAGCCATTGAAATCAGATCAGCGGAGACCGGTCATCTGGATGGAGTATTCATGCATAAAAACAGACAAAAACTTAGGTTCTTGTGTGAAAGAAATGACAAGGTAGGATTTCTTCTATGTATGATAATACTGCGACTGTAACTATGGTTACACTAAACACCAACAACAGTCATTTCTTGTCATCCTATTGGATTCACTGTTGATAATTCCATGATGTTGTTACATTTTATATCAACTTATTGTGTCAGCAACAAGTTATTTGCCCTTGCTTGGTAACCTTTCACAACTAGATTTCACAAATGTTGGTATAATGATGGTTAATTAACATTAATGCTCAGATTTCTTGTGTGTTTTCTTGAAACTAACATGCTTTTTCTGAGTTCCATGTTTAGAAAGATGTTTTAATCAAGAATAAATAAATTTCACACAAGTGTGAAGACAGTATATGGTTTGATTCTAACACAATTCCTATACATTTCATATGTTCATTGAAATACCTGTAATTCACTCATGTCAATTTGAGCTAATGGTATTTTAATGGAAGTATGAATTGTATGAATCAAACATGATTCAAATTGACCGTCATTGAGGCTGGGTATTGAAGACGTTGACACAAGTCATTTGTTGTTACGGTTTTGTTGTCTCATAGGATCTGGGTCAGAGACAGTTATGACCCCAAATTTCTGTTGAGTAGTTAACTGTTACATGTTCCAGATGATTAATGAAGTTGAATGACATATGACCTTTGTTCTAGGGTATTCGTACCTTGGCTTATATCATCATAATGAACGAATTCTTGTTTTTCCAAATTTCAGGTTTTCTTTGCGTCCATTCGTCCTGCCAATTCTCAAGTGTATTTCTTAACACTCAATAAACATTCTGTGGGAATGGGAATCGGAACGTGGTAATCTTGAAAAAGACTTTCTGATGAGAAGATCTGATTGAGGTGCTACTGCTTCCTGGATATTTATTTGGTTTTGAACTCAATGTGATGCATGATGAGTTGAGTTAATTCTTTTGCCTTGTGACCAAAATGAGGCTTCAATACCATCGTTGAGTATAAATAGCTCATTCATCTTGAGCTGAACTTGTGGACAATGCTTATGACAATAAGTTTATGGATGGTCACATGATGCATGATTAATGCTGTGGAACATTGAGGGATGGGGTAACAGTTGACAGCCAGTATTGCCTTTGATTCAAAGTCAGACAAATTGTTTAAATTGTTTTTGATCTTTTTTTGAGACGGAGGGGGGGGAGGTGTTTTAATAAACAAATGTTACATGTAAATATGTATGTTTAATTAAGTTGCTTAGAGACATAGTAGCAATGCTCATGACAAGGTGTAAAGGGCAGACCACATGGCATTGGTCTTTATAAGTTATAAGAATGTACAGCGTTTCTGTATTTATTGTGAACATAACTTGAAAATATCTCAAGAAGTACACTTGTTAGAGAAAAAAAATATGGAGATGGGTTGGGGGAGGGGTTTCAGTTGAGACTAAAGTTCAGTGATGGATTGTTGACAGGTGATTGTCACTGCAATTACCTGTGCATAACTACAGACACTTCTACCACCGTACTCCAAATCAGTGTTGTCATTTTAGAACTTCAAAGTTTTTTCAAGCTGATGTGTCACTCATATACATCCATGCAGCCAATAATGTACTACTACACATACCAAGATGGTTCCTGTGTTTTAATAACAAGTTTTGAATGGTTTGACTCACATGGGTGCAGTGTTCAGAACCTGGTCATCCAATGTGAAATATTGTTTTTAACCAATGCAATGATTTAGAGCAGGGGTTGTTAATGGTCCTGCAATTTTATAGTACCTTTTTTTTACACTTGTACCATGAATAGGAATCCTTTAACATATGTCTTGTGTCTTGTTTATTTGATGTTACAAATGTTCAGTGGCCTTTTGTGCATTACTGTTTGACGAACTGTTCTCTTTTTAACTTTGCCTTCTATTCAAATCAGTTTTGAAAACCTGGGGAGATGGTGAGTATTACGCCTCTTGGTGGCATCTGGGTTGGGGTTATAGCTGTAACCTTCTACCATACAAAGATTTGCCTTAAAATGTTTGTGTTTATTAATTTAACAAATCTCCAATTTACTGGAAAAGATACTGTCAGCAACTTGATAACAACAATTATGGAAACATTCCCGACTATGTCACTCTATTGTATCATTTCATGTATGTTTCTATGGTTACTAAATTACTGTATACAGTATTTTTAAATAAAATCAAGTCATTTTTACTAAATCTTTGTTATTCAGCATTCTTTTGTAGATACACTATCAAGTTATTTAACTACTGCATTTAGTTTATGCTCTAGACCCTCTTCAAGTTTGTTTTTTATTTATACACTTTATCATGGCTTATCACAATCATAAACAATATACACATGTATTATGAAGTTCATATAACACAAAAAAATAGAAGTATTAAAACATAAACAAAATAAAAATTAGTTCACAGAGGTGTATTTTTGACTCCCGTGTGCGAAGCACAAAAGGGAGTCTTTGCAGTTACCCTGTCTGTATGTCTGTATGTATGTATGTATGTATGTATGTCACTTTTTTTGTTCCACCGTTATCTCAAGAACCACTAATCAGATTTTGATGAAACTTGGTACATAGATGCTCTGGGATAATGCGCAGAGTTGATTAGGTTTTGGTAAAAATCTATGAATATTAATTACCTAATTTGCATGATAATTAGCTGATTTTTAACTGTTCCACTGATATATGAAGAACCATTCATTGGATTTTGATGAAACTTGGCACATGGATGCTCTGAACTAATGCGCAGATTTGATTTTTTTTGGTAAAAATCTATGAATATTAAATACCTAATTTGCATGATAATTAACTGATTTTAAGCTGTTCCATGACT